AAAAAGAGGAAAGAAGAAAAAAAAGTAGAAAAAGATTTTACATACATACATACATACATACATACATGAAAGAAAGAGAGAGAGAGAGAGAGAGAAGTGGCTTCTGATCTTCACAGCAGTTACCTGTATAAGTACAATTACATTTTAACCTCTCTCTCTAAAATTACATCATGACTCTTTTGTTATAATCTATCCTTTCTAATCATCAAAACCATAAGTCACAAGTTCATTTCTTTCTTTTTTACACAAAAAGTCCATAAGTGGTTTCCAGTCACTGATAAATGTAGATATTGTCTTTTATCAAACACGTCAGTTTGGCCATTTCAGCAACTTCTGTCATCTTCACGAACCATTCTTCCATTGTAAGTATTGCCAAATCTTTCCATCTTTGTTCATACAATAATCTTGCTGCAGTTATCTAGAGAGCCAGTTTGGCCTAGTGGTTAAGGCTCCAGGCTAGAAGCCAGAAGACTGTGAGCTCTAGTCCCATCTTAGGCATGAAAGTCGGCTGGGTGACTTTGGGCCAGTCACTCCCTCTCAGCCCATCACTCCCTCTCAGCCCGTGACATCAGGCTCATGTGACAAGCCAGTCAGTCAATTTCTGTCACAACCAATGGATCAACATTCAGTTGATTTGAAAAAAAGCAGACCCTGGACCTGTGGGAAAAACACTAGGAAGAAAGAAAAAAGTTATCATATACAGAAACAGTGTTCCATGGCTCCTTTCTAACTGTTTATCCATCAGTCCCAGGAGGAAAAATTCTGGTTTCAATTGCCTTGGATCTTCCTGTCAGCCTGTATTTTGCCTGGCCAGCTTAATACTGTAGCAGGGTTTAGTGAATATCTGTATATGTGAATGTGTGTGTAATGTGTAATTTTAATAAAACTGGTTTGACTTGAATTCATGTCTGAAGTTTCTGACTGAAATGAACAATTTCAGCCTGGGCAGGTGTTTAAGGTCCAAACTGTAACAATATAATTGCCTCTGGCAATTAAAAAAACAAAACAAAACAAAACAGTGACCTCTTGATGGCAAAAAGAAAGAAGTTGCCTACTTCTATACTACTCATTTTTACAAATTAACTCCTGTCCAGGATTACATAATGCAATGATCCCTAAACTAATTACACTGGCTGTGTCCCTACAACGCTAAGTCAAAAACTAGCAACCCAACGTTTTATTTATTACAGTATATTGTGCCAACCCACCCAACGGAACAAGCACCGATTCACAGCTTTTCTTTTCAAGCGATTTTCTCATCCACCGTATGCAAATTCTTTTGCTAAATCCTGATTTCCATCCAGTTGCTTTCAAGAAAACCATGATAAATCTCCCTGAAAAGTATCCAGAGATAGGTAGTTTCGTGCTCAGCCCCCTTCAGCTCAAATTATTTTGGCCAATTACAAACGACTGTGGGAACTGTAGTCCAAAACGCCTGCGGATTACCAAGTTGCCCGTCCCAACAATAATCAGGGTGCTCTACGGAACTGGCGTTTAACTTCGCTCGGCTCTGGAGGCTGCCTTCTAAACATATTATTTTACGGCCCCGGTCAGGCGCCCTTAAGCACGAGTATTAAATATACTCTCTGACAGAGGTAACTGCCGCGGGGGGAAATGTAATGTCCTTTAATTAGGATTCGTATATGGCTCGTCTAGTGAAGAATGCCGCAGGGGGACGATTCCCAGTTAGTCTCGAACAGGGACAGCCCAAACAGCTGGATTCGGTCTGACGTTTTGTGCGGCCACCTGAGCCACAGCCCGACTCTTCAGCATTCCCAGAAGGGAGAGATCTGCGCGTGACTTCCTCGCCTTGTCAGCATACACCTAAGCAGAGCGAAAAGAAGAGAGGCGTCTCCTCCCGCCCTGCCCTCCGAATTGCTGGGTTGGTTGGACCCTGGCGCTTGCCGTCTTTTCTCTCTGACTGAAATTAACCGGAAGCGTCGCCGCAGCGCCTCCGAACCCGCTGCGAGGGCGAGCAATGGAGTTCTCAGAGGAGAAGTTGCGGAAGTGGCTGAGCAAGGCAAGCGGGGCGAAGGAGAGGGGAGCTTGCGAAGCGCGAGCCAGCGGCAGCGCTCCTTTCCGCGCGCCCCCTTCGGAACGCCTTCCCTGGCTTGAAGGGAGAGGGAGCGACCAGCTGAATCCATTAGACCAGTGTTTTTCAAACTGGGCAGCTCGCTGGCTGGGGAATTCTGGGAGTTGAAGTCCACACATCTTGGTTGCCAAGTTTGAAAAACACCGCATTAGTCTCTGCTCCCCTGGCTCCCTCCCGCCTGCTTGCTTGCCGTTTGTCAGCGCCTAAGGTGCTGGACCTGGTCTTCCTTGTTCAGCCACTGTTGGACGGCGCATCTTTCGCGCGGTTTCCTCAACCCTGCGGCATTAGTTTTTCCTTCCCGCTTCAAGCTTTGGTTATTTCCTCCTTAGTAATTTGTAGCATCTAATCCCGTCCCCTAGCTTTTGCTCTGGGGATAAAAAGCCCGGATTCATCATTATTAGGGTGGGACCGTGATGTTTGATGTACGGCCTCTTTTCTGTTGAGCTGGTCTTCTGGTGACTTCGTGGACCTAGTAATCCACACACTAATGAGGAAATAGCCTGTGCTTGGACTTACCTGCTATACTTTTGAGTAAATCACAATTGGCTGTTTACCCAACTCACTGTTCGTGCTGCTCTTCATGTTCCCCAAACCGTAGCCCGAACATATCCCAGAAACAGCCTTTTCCTGCTCTGTCCTGATGGGGTCACCTTTCTCTTATTCCCAGACTGCCGCTGAGGTACCTTAAAGTCCTCCCCTAGCTGCTTCAATTTTGAAGTAGAGTTTTCCCTCTTCTTCTAGCACATTTTGTGAATATGATCTGCCATACTTCACCAGTGATGGGGTTGCTGACACAGAGGCTGGGATTCATTTTGATTTGGGTTGCAGAAGGATGAAACCTGCATACAGTAATGTTTGATTGGAACTTTCCAAAATATTTGTCTTGAGGGAGCTCTAGTTTTTATCCTGCATGAAGGTGACTTAAGCCGGAAAAGAGAGCCAGATTCTGCCAGCTCTGTGTTGCTAGTTCTGCCGCTATTGGCAGCATTACAGGTTTCTGCTGACAGCCAGATTTCACATGGCCATACTTTTTACTGTTTTTATTTCTTGGGGAGTAGTCACTGTTTTGACGCTTTGGTAGTAGTGTTGTCCCAAAGAAAAGCTGGGTTCCTACCTGGGATGTGTGAGACAGTTAGACACCCAAGGCTGAAATCTCTTTTAATAGCTTTATTTTGCAGAGTAAAGAGCACTTGCAAATTGATTTTCAAGGCAAGCGCTGCATTCCATGCAAATCATTGGGTTTTTAAATAGCTACAATCAGAAAATCATTACATCATAGGTTAATACAATTTTATTGGTATACACAGTTAAAATACTCCTAAAAAGATGGGTACTAATGCCAAAAAGGCGGGCATTGTTGTTCCAAAGAGGAATATGAGGTAGTTGGTTTTGCCCCCAGGGAGATCCCACTGTCCACTTTCGCCTTTGGCTCTTCACAGCTTTAAGTGATAAACCTTGTCAATTTCAAAGGGAAAGAATGTTAACAAGGTTCACAGCTGCAGCCTGTTTTTCACTTTGCAACTGGTTAAGGTCAATTTTGAGGCATGCATAATGTTTCTTTATTCCCAAATCCCCCATTCCATGACTAGTGCTTATGATGATCACTGTTGTTATTATGCTGTTCTAGTATGTTACTCTCCATGGCTATTCATGAAGTAAGTGTTGCTGGCCATAAGATTAGAACTCCTTCCAAGGTGGGTCAGGGACATTGCTTGCGTGTTATTGTTACCCCCCACCCCACTTCATCCTGCACCCTTTCTCCATGCCAATGTCCTCTCTGTTTTGGACACCTATGTAGCAGTCTTCAGGAGAGTGGGCCTCTGTTCACAAATAGCCTGACTGACAGAAGTATTGCACTGAGCAAGAGCATGTCACTGCACATCTGCAAGCTCTTAGACAATGACCAGATGACTAAACTCACTGTTGTAAGCACCACCTTCAAATTGCCTGACTCTCCCCATTCCATGTAAGGGAGAATGAATGGTGGTTGATTCCCTGCCTGTGAGTGGGAGGGGAAATAAACCTGGGGGCACCCACCAATCCCTTTGCTCTGCAGGAAATAAAGACAACACTCTTCACCATCTTTGCTATGTTACAGAATAGGGATAGGGAACAGGGGCACAATTTATTGCTGGCAATCTACCAGCTCAAAGACTGGTAGATTGGATAGCTCTCTAACACAACCATCTCAATGTGCTCTAAGCCCAAACCATAAACACTCCTTTATGGCTTAGGACGGCATTTCTTATATGATATAAACCTTGCTGTGAAAATGCATAATTGCACTGCTGCTCGTGAAGTCTACAGTCCAAGCATGATTTGGTCTACTCATAATGTTACAGCATACATGCCACAGGATTGTGTACTGAATGTTGTCATAAGAGAGTCTCATACAAAATAAGCCCCTGCAGGGACTTTGTCTCAATGTGGCCAGGTGTATTGTGACACCCCCCCATTCCACTTGGGGTCTCCTAATCCATTTAAGGCTGCATGTCTTCCTAAATTCTGTTATAACATTTTAACCATACAGACATCCTGATTTTATTATCAAGTCACCCTTTTATGTCCCCCTTCCCACATTCTGTGGAACATTTTGCTCAATGGAGAAATTTCAGATGCATGTCTTCACAGTCTTGTGCAATCCAAGTTGCTGTTTTAAGACATTTTCTTTCACATAGCCCTGTAGTTCATGCTTAAGATTACTGAAACTGCCTTTCTTCTGTCTCCAGTATAAATTCCGAGATCTGACCATAGAAGAACTGAAGCACATAAATGAGTTGTATCCCAACATCAGGTTCACCATGAGCACCTATAGTAAGAATTCCTGTCTTGGGGAGCAGGGGTGGTGGTAGATACATTATCTATTTTTTTTTATTGGGGCTTATAAATCAGTTAAATAAATAAAAAGTGAAATCATGCTGAATATTAATGAATATATTCAGCCCCCTGAGGGACATTCCACATTAATAGTATCTGTATTAATAGCGTAAGTATAACACATTTATTAGGAATTAAACCCATTGTTCCATTTGAATTATTTGGGCAGCATGCATAGGATTGCAATCTTACTGTATAATTTTCTTAAATTTTCAGCAGTTAATTGATCACTTTTAGTATATCTTTTTAAGGTTTGGGATGGTAGAGCAAAATGTATATTTGTATGCTGCTCTTTTTTATTAGCTTTCTTATTGTTTTGGAATAGTATTTTCTATAGCATTAGGCTGCTTTAGAAAATGTGTTTTGGTGAATTTACTTTTTATGTTCTATACATATAGTGTTACACACACACACACACACACTTAATTTTTTTTAAATAAATGAATGATGGTTTTACCTGATTTGAAATGTTAGCAGCAATATATACTAATACTAAATTAAGAGAATTTTCAAGGGAAAAATGATATAATGTTTTGATTTTCAGCTTTTAAGGATGGATCCCAGAAAGACCTTCTGAACTTTAGTGGTACTGTTCCAGTAAAATATCAGGGTGAGTTCAAGGAATGTTTCCTTTGTATTTCTTGATATCTGACCACTTCATTCCAAATAATATATTAGGAAATGTATTTATATACAACATTTATATGTTGCTTCAATCATAGATTATAAACAGTTTACCATTAGTACAACAAAGCAACTTTAGTAGCATAATCTGAAGCAGAGGGTCTGGATCAGCATGGGAAGGAATATCTTGCCACCCCGCCCATCCCATTCCACTTACTTATGTGGATGGCTCTGATAAAATCAAAAGCAGGAATTTATCGCCCAGCAGCCTTAGTATTTTCTCCTTGCAGACTGAAGTGAGAAAGAAAAAGTCATATTGTTTGAGTTGGACAGCCTTATAAATCTGATAAATAACTGTACATAATGAAATAAATGCTGAAGTTCCTTAACAAGAGAGCTAAAAAGGCTTTTTCCTTTAAGCTATAATGCTGAAAATTAAGTAGCAGAAAGCCAGAAGGAAAACAGCAGCTGGCTAAGCATGAAGTTGAAGCTACAACAGTGGAAATAGGTGGAGATAAAGCAGTGTGATGGTCAGGAGGAGATTCAGCAGCAGTTAAGTAACAGACCTGCTATAATTCTATAGCAGCAGGTCTTTGAAGAGGCTTGTGGATGGGATCTCAAGAAAGCAGTCTTTGGCTATAATTTGTGCAGCAGCTGAGGCCTATCCAAAAGGTCTAGCAATAGACTGGGATGGAGATCATGAGGCCCATAAAGAAAGACCTATCAAAGAGGTCCATCAGGAAAGGCCTGTTGAAGAGGCTACAGCAGTGATGCCCCACCAAAGAGGTCTAGTGGTAGAGAGTGGCTACCAGCTGTTAGAAAGACTGAAACTGACTGGGGAAGCTTCCTGGGAAAGGGTGGTATGTGATAATAGAAAGAACCCCAAGGTAGAGTTCACACTAGGTCCTCTTGGTTAGGTAGCTGAGTACTGGTTCACAGAGGAACTACAGGGACCCCCATGGTTAATCCAGGCAAGAGGGGAAGACAGCATAGACTTTGTCCCCTTAGAAAGCAGCCTTGGGGAAGGAACTTTATTCTCATCCAGAATCAAACTGCCTGATTCATGGGACTGTCAGTCAGCTCACCTGCCTATGCTTGTTATCATCCTAAACTGAATTTACAATAAACAACAGCCAGTAATTATCAAGCCAACAAATCAGTTTTCAGTATCAAAAAAAGTAACATTTTAATACAAGTCCCCTAATAAATAAATACTCACTGAATAACAAATCTATAACTCAGATGTAACAATAACACATACGCTGCAATGTCTCTTCAGAAGAGTAAAGTTTTAACTGTCTTCCTGGAAAATTAACAGGAATTAAGAAACAGCCTTAACTTTGAGGGCAGAGCATTTCAGAGGATGGTGGCTGATTCCTCATCCGTGTCCCAAAAGGTGGGAACTCACTCTCTCTGCTAGTTCAAATGGGACACCAGATTCTACATGGAATACATGATCTTGAAGCTACTCAGGATCCAACCCATATGCTGGTTTGTAAGTTATAACCAGCACCTTAAACTGCACCTGGGGAAAAAACTGATAGCTAATGTTGGTCCTGTAATAAGATGTAATGTGACTAAAAGCTGCCTGGAGTTCTGGAGTCAGGCAGCATAATCATCATCATCTCATATTTGTTAGCAAGTGGGCAGCTGTATTTTGCATTTGCTAGTTTTGGGGTGTCCTTCAAGGGTAGTCCCATATACAGCAAATTGAAGAAGTCCACCTGGATGTGACAAGAGTATGAATGATCATTGCTAGACAATTCCATTCCAAGAATAATTGAAATTGGTGCCATAGTTGAAGAGATAGCCTCTCCTGGCTGTCACTTTCACCTGCTCCTCTAACAGAAACCTGTAGTCCAGGAAGACTCCCAGATTGTAGACCAGCTCTTTCTGGGGGACTGCAACCTAGAAATGGAACTGGCCTGGAATCAGAAGACTTCTGAACAAACAGCCATTCCATCTCGATAGAATGGAATTAATGAGATTTCATCAAAATAATAGAATGTCTCTTCATCTCCTGTTTAGAGTTCTGGTGAGCCAGGTAGGACTCTTCTATGCTGCTACATTACATCCCTCTTCTCCCAGTTTGCAGTTTTCCTTTCCAAGTGATGATGTTTTCTAATGCAGGGCTGCTAATTCCACCAGTAAAAGTATATTGTGAAGATATTCTGTTATCCCTTTTTAACAGACTTTTTTCTACTAAGCAAAAGAATGGAAAACATTGGAAAACTTTTCAAAAATTATGGTTAAAAATCTATTTCATAGCACTGGTTTAACTATATAGTTGTCACCACCAACTGCAAGACTTTTTTATTAGAGGAAGGAATTCTTAAACCCAATATGTTCAGAGTTCCTCCTATGAGTACCTCTACCAACTAGATGTAAGCAATGATGAGAAAAGGAATTCAGAGCTGTAGCACATCATCATGCCTGTCATTTCATGCCTTTCTAGTACTACTCAAAACCACTTTACTGTATTTTTCCAGTACTTTTCAACTTTCACTTTTAAAAGATAAGTGTTTCTTTTATCTGGCTTTTCATTCTACTGAATGTATTTTAGTGCTGTATTTACCAAGGAGGACAGTTTTCCCTCCTGAATTGAATTGAGGTCATTTTATAATAGCTGATACGAATAGAAGAAGCTTGTGAAAAGAAAGGAATGAACAGGAAGTGCAAATTACTACAATACCACTGCTGAACCTGGATGCCTTTGAAGACTAGGCATCACTTGGGAAGGGCTGCTTGCCTGGTGAATGTTAGCCCTTTTTTTAAGGCTTAGCAGGCCTTTTATAGCCTTTGTTTTCCTTCCTCTTTCAGTACCTCTTCTTGTCTCATCCCCCTCCAGTTCTCTCCTTTTTCTAGTCTTCTCTCTCCAATACATAATTTCGTCTCCACCTGCTTTTTTTGCTGTTTCTTCTAGAAGAGGGAAGGGAATATGTGCAGATGTTTATTTCTCAGTGTGTGAACAGGTTTGTGTGTGTGAAACAGAATAATTGGTGTATACAGAGGAGGAAACAAACTTGTATATAAACAAGGTACCTTATTTTACAAGAAATTAATTTATTAAATATGAATTTAGGGTTTTTTGTTTGCGTTTTTTGGTATAGCCTGTCATTTTGTGAAGTGAAGCTTATGGCAAGTAAATATAAAATATCTAGACAGAAGTGTGATGCGCACACTCATTTATTTTAGAGGGAAAGTCTCCAGAATTGGTTTTCGCTGGAGTTGGCAAGCCTAGATTAGCAATGTGGGAAAACTGGGCATTGCCAGTTTTTCTTTTTAATATATATTTTTTATAAGTACAATTATTTTTTTCCAATATACTTATTCTTTGGCAGAGGGAAGTTGCCTTAAATTCAGGGTTGTCATTTCAGGTTAATTTTATATTTCATTTATAAACTGACCTGGAAATGTTTATAACTGAAGACTGCATATAGATTATTTAAGTTGCATGGAATTCTGACAGACTCAAAATACAGAATAACAACATTATTACAAAGCAATAATAAAAAAGGCATTCCACCTTTGAAGCACCAGCAGCAGCTACTGCTGATGCTGCTGAAGATATGGACAGTCTTAGCAACTAATTTGCACTTAATTCTTTGGGGCTTTTGCAAAAAAATAAATTTAAATTCATCTTTGCTAAATATATTTATAATTTGTATTTTGACAGGTAACACTTATAATATTCCAATTTGCATATGGATTTTAGATTCTTATCCTTTTACTCCACCAATTTGTTTTCTGAAGCCCACTGCTAACATGGGAATTTCTGTAGGAAAACATGTAGATGCCCGTGGAAGGATTTACTTGCCATATCTACAATCCTGGAGCCATGTAAGGATTATTTAAATGCATTACATAAAATTATATTTATTATCTTACTGAAATCTATTATAAATGTCATCATCATATTTATTTCGGTCATTGACCAATAAAAATAGATACAATAAAACAGACAACAATATTACCCCTTTCATCAATAACTACTAGCAACCATTTGTGGGCGAAGCTTACATATTATGTAGCAAAATTTTATAAAACAGACAACAATATTACCCCTTTCATCAATAACTACTAGCAACCATTTGTGGGCGAAGCTTACATATTATGTAGCAAAATTTTATAAAACAGACAACAATATTACCCCTTTCATCAATAACTACTAGCAACCATTTGTGGGCGAAGCTTACATATTATGTAGCAAAATTTTGCAACTTTTAAAGAAATC